AGACCCTGCTTAACGGCCTCGGGGGAAAAGGCATCCATACTGTAAGCCTCAACGGCGTTCAATGTCAATTGATTGTTAGGGTGGATGGTAGCGAAACCGCTCGAGACTGTGTTAATCCCAAAAAAAATCAAACCTACCAAAGAAACGCTTAGCTGTGCCGCTCGCTTCAATTACTTCCACAAGACCAGGGCGTAATGCTTCAATGCTGGGCACGTGCGATGCAAGAATACCCAAATCACCGCTGACCGCTGGGACATTCACTTGAGTCACTTCTTGGTTGTCATACAGAGCTTGATGCGGAGCAACAAAGCTCAACTTTAGCTTCTCGCTGACGGCTTCAGCGTATCCACGACGCGCGCCTGCAAGTTGCGCAAGTCCGAAGCGCAAATTGGAGGATCGCGTGGAGCGCGAGGCTAGTGCAAACACCATCGTATCGTATCAAAGAACAATTTGCACACAGCGCCCCACTCCGGGTCCGGTAGGCCAGCAGATACCGTCGGCCGAAGTCGGGACTTTCTTGGGCCCTGCACGTGGTCCATACGGCGCCTCCACTAGCGCTCGGACCTTGTGGATGGGGTGGAATTGCCAAGAGTGTGGGCAGCCTCTGCAGTTGGATAGGTCGTTGGAAGACGCAGATAAGCACACACTAGGTATCGCGGAAGAAACCTTGAAGGAGGCTCTGGGACAATGGAATACTATATCGAGCGAGACCCGCGAATCTCATCTAAATGCGCTTGGTCTGCCGTCAAGTGTGCACCAAGCTATTCAAAAGCAGCTCCTACGGGCTGATTCCGCTCCGAATCCTAGCACAGCATCACCAGGCAAGCACCAATATCAAACACGGTTGTTCCAAATACTGTCAACGGAGCCTTCTCCAGCTGAACACTCAATTACCTTGCAACATCCATTGTGCGAAGATTGTACCAAGCAAGTTCTGGAGAAATCCGCGCAGGATATCGAAATTGCGAGAGAAGAACGGAACGCTTTGCGAGCGTTTGAAGAAAGTTGTATCTCGGTAGGCCATAAATCAGCTCGTATGCCGAAGCGACGCTCCTCCTTCCGAAATGAAGTCGACGAAGTAGGTTGCTATGACAGGAAGCTGACTTTAGATTGCCTCGAGCACCCAACAGGCCCAGTCAGAATTACTTGCCTGTGATTCAGAGCATCGAAAATTGCAGCAAGAATTAGATGCTGTTCGTCAAGAAGCAGCGAGCTTCGCAAACACACAGGCAGAGTTCTGGACTGCTTTTAATCAACAAACCAGCGAAATGCATCAGTTGCAATTGGAATTGCACCGGAATCAGACACAAGCGGAAGTCTTGAGTGAAATGCTAAATTATCTTGAACAAGCCAATGCATACCTAGACGTGTTTGATATTGGTCAAGATGAACGAGGCATCGCTACGATCAACGGATGGCATTTAGGCAGATTAAGTACAGCACATGTATCGACTGCTGGGGAGCAAATTGACTGGCCAGAGATCAACGCAGCTTGGGGTCAGACAGCCTTCCTTCTCACAGTTCTTTCACGGAAACTCGCTTGTGAATTCTCACAATATCAGATTCATCCTTGCGGCCCATTAAGCGCAGTGGAACGTTTAGGTGCAGATCATGCTAAGTACGAATTGTATGGAACCAATGAATGGCAAATCGGCAGACTATTCCATTCACGGAGATTTGACCAAGCAATGATCGGGGTGCTGGCGTGTGCAAAACAGCTATGTGAGAGAGCATGTGATTTGGATCCAGCGCTTGATTTGCCATATACGTAAGTGATAAATGATTTATACAGTATTCAAAAAGATACCATCGGAGGCGCGAGTATTCGCCTCCAATTCAATCACCCAGATACCTGGTCGCGTGCAACGCTGTCCCTTTTAATCACGTACGTATCTATCCTGCTGACCTAGTCTACGTATGCTACTGCATTGGACTATCGACCACAATCCTAAGCCATAGCCTTACGAAGTATCACGTGCTAGAAAAATCACCGATCGTTCGTAGTGATCTTCGAAGGTCGTTAGGTTTCGTAGCGGCAGGAGCGAAGATGCCAATTACACAGAGCGGACACCCTGGGCAGGATCATTCCCGTGATCCATGTCCATGGGTGATTCTGAATGACTTTGGTGGTGCATTTGCCATGGGGTGCATCGGTGGCACAATCTGGCACGGAATTAAAGGTGCACGAAATTCTCCTCGTGGCGAGCGAATTCTAGGCTCAGTCTCAGCTATTCGTGCCCGCGCACCAGTACTAGGAGGCAACTTTGGCATTTGGGGTGGCTTATTCACCTCGTTTGATTGCACTGTCAAATCTGTTCGTCAAAAAGAAGATCCTTGGAATGCTATCATCGCCGGTTTCTTTACAGGTTCCACATTAGCCATTCGTGGTGGGCCTAAGACTGCTGCAGGCGCAGGTGTGATGTGTGGCATCTTGTTGGGTGTATTTGAGGGTACGTCTTCGTTCGATACTGCTAACAACAGGTGTCGGTGTTTTGATGCAACGTTTGCTCGCGGAAAACAACAAGCCGGTATGTTCTATCACACTTACTCCAGATCGCTCCTATTATGTATGTTGACTTATCGCTTACTTTTCAGTCCAGAATCTCCGGTCGCACCAGCTTCTATTGGCTCGCCTTCATAATTGACCTTTTGATCGCTTTGTATCAGCATAAAACCCGTATAGCTTGCTCCTTATACAGCGCAATACACAATTTCTCTCATACATCAAGCATGCGACAAACTCTGCAGCATCCTCGTTTGGCTGTTGAGGTCAATCTGCGATTCACTTGATCGTTCATCGCGGTTCTGTCGAGATCCATCTCTTTCTGGTTCTTGGGAGTCGCTCGATATCTATCAGAATAATCGTTTGGCATACATATAGGGATCTTATTTTCCATTTCATGCATCGTATACAATTGGTATCTACATTGTTGCATCATGATACTATACAATTCCCTACATGTGTAAATTACGCCAAATTGTGGAATCGATTGGATTTTGTGTGGAGCACTATCTGGATTGCTATTAGTCCACAAACACCAAGCAACTTTCAAGAGGTGACATTATTCGAACCTTGGATGATTCATAGCGATTTCACATCTCCCCTATTCCATAGACTTGTATATGTCCTTCGCTAGCATTGGTCAAAAGCATTGTGTCCCCTAATAATTTCTCAGTTGCTTTAATACAACGCCCATGTCGTAAGCATGATTCAAAGGATGTAGATACCAAGCTGATCTTAGCTAGGTGTTTCGACATTGGAAGTCACCCATGCCAATCATTAGATAGTTATCTTTTGCTTTGCCTCTGTGTGGTACTACACTAGTCCATCGGTTCAAGTCTGTGCGTGAACGATCGGGCCCGATTCAAATTCTTCTCCTGTATGCTGCGCTCGGTAGCATGGCGAGCACTCAAGAGCACACGACGGGCACAGCAACGTTATGTGCGGTTCTATAGCGCCTTGGAAACTGACCAAAATCCACTTCAAAAGTTAAAAAGTCGCGATCTCGTTCAGGCAGCGACTTCCAGTGCTCTTGAATCTCATCTTGCGACGGAGAAAGATGGTGCTTTGGTCCCACGCACGATCTATGCTGGTGTAGATCCAAGTGCAGCGAGTATGCATGTTGGAAACCTGTTGCCACTTCTAGCTTTACTTCATTTCTCGCGTTATGGACATACTGGACTGGTATTGGTAAGCTTCAAACTGACAAATAGGTTGGCGGTGGGACAGGGGCCATTGGCGATCCTTCAGGTCGCTCTACAGAGCGTTCTGCACTGAATTCGGAACAACTCAAAGCGAATGTTGCCTCGATTCGCGCACAGATGTATCAGTTTTTCCACAATGCGGCTGCTTACTTGAATCGACGACATGGGAAAAATATCGAGCTGAATCCTCATACCACTGATCCTAATGCAGAACCAACTGGAGAGCGGCTCTTCTTGTCGGGACTCGATATTCGGTTGGTCAATAACACCAGCTGGATACAGCCCGTTTCGATCATTGAATTCCTTTCCAACGTAGGACGACATGCACGCGTCAACGACATGCTGGCTCGCGATAGTGTAAAAAGTCGCATGAATGTAGCAGAGGACGGGAAAGAGACCAGTGAGGGCCTGTCCTTCACCGAGTTTACCTATCAACTTTTGCAAGCTTACGACTTTAGTGTTCTACACAGAGAGCCATACCATTGCTCAGTGCAGATTGGCGGGTCTGATCAGATGGGGAACATTACTGCTGGAATTGACCTTATTCGCAGGCAAGAGGCTAGTAAAGGAAGAAGCATTAAAGAGGACCCAGCATACGGACTTACGTTGCCGTTGTTGACCACAGCGAACGGTGCTAAATTCGGCAAGTCGGCAGGAAATGCTGTCTGGCTGAGCCCGGAACACTTGTCCGACCTCGATTTTTACCAATATTTTCTGCGTACATCTGATGCGGATGTTGAACGATTTCTGCGTTCGCTCACTTTACTTCCTATCAAAGAAATCGAAGACGTTATGGCAGTACATGACCAACAGCGTTCTAAGAAACATGCACAAGAGGTGCTAGCTGCTGAAATGACGGAACTAGTGCGCGGTGAACAAGCTGTTTTCCGCGCAAAAGTCGCGACCAAAGTACTCTTCGGCTCGCGTCTCGAAGAGCTCTGTGCTGAAGATGTGATTTCAACTTTTCAACACGATTCTCGTCTACAAATGATGCCACGCAGCATACTAGGCACTGAAATACTAAATCTGGCAGCTGAATCGCAATTGACTACTTCTAAGAGTAAGTGATAATGACTTATGTAGGCGAGGCTCGACGGCTCCAAAAAGGTGGTGGACTCTACTTGAACAATGTATCTTTGACCGAGGCAAATCGGCCCCTTCTGGCATCTGACTTGCTGGATGACTGCTTCATCGTCCTGCGCGCCGGAAAACAGCAACATCGAATCGTTGTCGTAAAGGATACTTGATTCGCGCCGTAGTATATAAACACCCAGTAAGAAAGAGCCGCATTGATTGCGGCTATCGTCTAGTGGTTTAGGATCTCACCTTCCCATACGCCATTGTGGCGGGCGGCAGCTCGGAAGTAGGTGAGGACAGGAGTTCGAACCTCCTTAGTCGCATTTTTGCTACTTAAAATTATCGTATGGATGATCACCGATCAATGATCCTAGTCCCTATAGTTTTGCTTGCATAGCCGTTTGAATCAGAGAGCCAAGCTCGTTACCCTCCTCGTCGGTTAATTCGTCTCGTCTCCCAAGCACGGCTAGTGAAGTCTTGGAGGTCCATTTCTGAAGAGGTGATGCACTTCCATCAGCCAATGGCGCAGGGACGACATGAAAATGTACCTGAGTAAGCTTTCTCTCTTACATGATCCACAGTTTGAGCGTACTCTTGGTTGGCCGCGACTTGAAGTCCGCTAATCTCGAACGCTTCCGGTCAATACGAGACACGAACCTCTTTCCATCGCTCGCGCAACTGCAACGACACTTTGCATCAGACTAGCACTCTGCTGCGAGTCGAGCTCAGAAATCTTTCCGACGTGTGCCTTGGGAATCACAATTATATGACCTGAATTAGGTGCCTCACCTACCTGCGCGGATCGGCAAGATGTCTAGGAACGCTAAGCAATCATCGTTCTCGGCCACTATATGAGCTGCCTGCTTTTTTCTGGCAATATCGCAAAATGTACAGCCTTCCATCTTTATGCGTCGATCGTCTTGTTTCCTCAACCCGCTTAGTAGATGCGAAGTCATCACAGAAACATCAGGAGCAAGGCTTGCGGGGTACGAGCCTCCACATGCATATCATCCAGGATGGACAGGAAAAAGAAGTTGCGAGCGACGTGAGTTTCTACCGGCGAAGCAATGCTGAGAGAGAAGCGTATGGATTCGTGCTATACATATCCGCATCGGTGTTGTGGGTTGTGATCAATTTATGGGCAGTCCTACCTGAAGCAGTCCTATTGGCTATGGGAATTGAGTGGTTTCCTCGACGGGAATGGGCTTACCTATTGGTTGCCTGGTCCCTGGTTCTTGTGTTGACCACCTATCTGTGTTTCGGAGCTCTAAACATGTACAATACTCCGTCAATAGACTCGATCCACTGCATCACAGATGATCATGCTATTATATACCCCGCACTCTCTACTGATCCTCTTCCGACGATGTCTATACCTGAAACTGGCTGGGCAGATTCTCCGCTGTGTGGAGACATGTACGACTTGTCGCCTGGTATTGTGTCGCGAGCTTTGTATCTGAACGACTAAGGTAATATACAGGAAATCAGCATTCAATACAAAAATACAATGCATGGCCATATCAGGTTTCATGAATCATGATGCAAATCTCTTGCGCGCACAGTCAGGACTCTGCATCCGCCTCATGGTGGTAATTGAAATCCGTAATAATATGCTTTTTGTTGTCTCGTTGAGCATTAAGACAGTCAAGATTCTGTTGCAAAGTCTCGGCATGATTCGAAAGCGAATGAATATGATACTCGCGAGCTTCTTGCTCAGCTAGCATAGCATGCTCCGTGAGCAAGTCTGCCTGACGAGTTCGCTGAGCGTAGGCTTCCTGGTACCATGCGACATTATCCAATTCTTCTTCCAATTGACTGATCTTGGCTTGAAACTGCTTTTCCTTTTGCCGTGCGGCGCTAATTAGATTCTCGACTTCAGTTTGCCGCTCTTGACTCTGGCTTTGCTCTTTAGCTTTGAAATTGCAGAGCGCTCTGTCGTACCTCTTGTACAGACTGTTCAGCAGCGTGCTTATACGCAAGATTTCATCCTGAGACATCTCGAGATGGATCGAAAATCTCTCTGAGTCAATTCTAGCACATTGTTCTGCAATCTCCAACTTTGCCAAACGATCTTGATCAAACTCGGCAAAAGCTTCTCGATCGAAAATTTGCATCTCAATTGAGTTGTGATATGTTTGCAATTCTTGTATCCTTTCATGGGCGTCATGTAGCTCCATGTATAGCGAATCGCGTTGAGTGCGTAAGACTTCTATATACTCCTGCTCCAATGCATTGTCTCTTATCTGTGTCGGCACCATTGAGGCAGCAGTGGATCTAAGCTCTGGTAGGCGATTGCTTCGACGAGCAATATTTCCTGCGGCACGAGCAATACACCGCATATTCATTTGGAGCAAATCATCGGATTCATCACGCTCGTTGGCCTCGTTAAGACTTTCAATCAGCTTTTCACATCGAGCAGCATTCGCCTCTGCTTCGGCCCGTGCCTCACGGGTTTTCTGTTGTTCTTCTCCAAAGACGTGTAAGGGTATCGTGGTTTTGCTCATATGTGCAGCACGCTCCTTGTATCGTGCGATTGTCGTTTCTTGCTTTGTGAGCTGAGCACGAAGCTTGAGCTCACGCTGGCGTCCTAGTTCTGTGTTAGATGAGTCACATACGTATTTCTGTGCGGAGATCCTCTCTTTCATTTATCAGGCAGTTCTTCTCTTTGCGCAAATCACACAGCATACTTTCGGCGACACGTAAAACTTCATCTGTCGATTTATTCCGTGGTAAGACAGGGGTATGAGTCGGAATATTTTCTCTATCCTCTAGCGGGAAAGCCCCAACACGGGGCGTGCTTATCCTTGGAGTACGTATCGGGAGCCTTGAACTGGCATCAGACGACTGCCGAGGGGTATACGGTGTCGAGAGCCGCCGGCTAGTCGGCGTCGAGTCCATCACGACTCCAGAACAACACTTCTCGCGCGCACGTCACGTGGACTGACAATAAGGTTGGCAAGCAGATGCCAGCTGCATTTCGATGCCATCGGAGCAATAGTATACAGGTATCGCACTTCTAAAGACGTTGTAGACTGAGGTGAACGGATAAAGGTTCTCAAGATATCTATATGCGGTAGCACATTCTTCTGGTTTATTCATGCTACCCAGAATAGGATCCACCATTTACGCAAGGATTGATTTTGATTTGCGATCAAGCTCACTCACTAGAATTCATGATTTTAATCCTTTTGAGCCTTCGATTCCCTTTCGGTTCTAAGTGACCCACCTTGCTTTTGTCGAGATAGGCTTTCAAAACTTCTGCTAACATTGCGATGCTCAGTAGTGTTTGTGTTGATCGCTTATGTACTCGGTATTGTCTCGCAACACTTGCTTTAAGCGGTCTCTATTGCCAGAAGAATGCGCCAGAAGATCATTGAGCCATCTAACAATCATGATTCAAAGAGGCTACACAAGACAGACTTCGCCAGCAATTAATTATATTGGTCCGTGCATGTCATCACCCCGCAGTAATGCAAAAATTAAGAGACACGTGTGATAATTCAGTCAAGCTAGCGAAATTGCGCCAACTTCGCTTCTTTCATACTGTTATAACCAATGGTCCCACTTTCCTCTTCCTGACGTTTTCTGTATGTCACACAGACTGCCGAGTGCCTTGGAAATGCTCGATTCACGCCATCCTATATGACGCGGAGACTGGATGTACGTTCGGATATTGCCTTCACGCTTCTCGACGAAAGTATGAATCTTCTTTGTCAATCCGCGATTTATTTGACAAGAATTCTGCGCCGGTTATCCTTCAGAGGGCTACAAGTCTCAAGAAGTTTCAAATAATGGATCGTGATGTGACTATAGTGTGATCCGATGTGCTTTCGGCATGATGCATGGCTCACTGCACTCAGATATGTGCCTCACAGTGCAATCTCTGCATCAATATGCTGCTCCAAGTTCTAAAGCTCAGGAAGTTTTCCAATTGTCACCATGTCGATCTGGTGGGATTGACTTTCCAAGCCAATCATTTTCTTTACAAGATACGAGTGTGTGCTAGTATTGGAAGAAGGCAAAGTCGAAGCGACAGCTGTTCAAAGCTGATAAAGATGACGTGCTCGAGACGATTCCGTATGATGCTGGTCGATATCCTGGAGGCTTTTACCCTTTACGTATGGAATAGGTTGCGTTCTGCATCGCGTATATCGATTATGATGTGCTTGCCCTCAGAAAGGTTTTGTAGTTAATTGTAGCAGAAACATATTCACCTGACTAGTGTATGGTAGCAGTAATGGTTGCTTCGGCTTTCCCTCAACAATTGTATGTAAGGGGCTTCTATGCTAAGCTGCTTGTTCTGTCTAACATTCTGAGAAATCTCGATCCCCGAAGACCGTGGCCAATGGCAATTTCTAACCGATTGTGGAGTATATTGTCATCTGCATGACTGAGTCTTCTAGCCGCTATTTTACACCAATCACAACCCAAAGTTGGGTTGGGCCAAAAAAAACCCAGCATGAGTCGGAGTTCCGTATACTTGGACGACAGCAAAGTATGGCTGCGTTCGCGGGTTTCCATGGTATAGGATCCGACATGAACATATAAAGAGGAGATATTGACTCATCATCGACCATCAACCCACTCAGTTTGAACTCGTATAACAAAGACTACTCGATATGAGAACCACTTCGGCTTTGACAATCATCTTATCGCTATTGATCGCCGTCACAAGCGCTGCGCCAACTTTGCTGAAGCATTGTGAGAAAGTCGCAGGTCCTGGAGAGCTGTCTTCGAGGCATGTGTTCAGTGGTGGTTACATTGACAATTACCACTTCCACATTAGCAACAAGCACCAAGAAAATGGACACGGGCTACTGACAGCGTCTAAAAACGAGACCAGCCAGAAATTCGAGTTTTTCTCGTGTGAGCCACCGAGCGATAATTTCAAGCAGTCTACTGGCACGAAGGGTACAGAACCGCATGCTTATGGAGTGGTTCGCAGCGCGAAAAACAACGACCAATGTCTGACAATTGTCCGCGATTCTCAATTGGTAACTAAAGGCGACGCAGTCATGGCGCTTGCTCCTTGCTCGAAGACTGCTAACGGTCTTGAGAAACAATGGTTCCAAATTCGTGGTGACGTGGTTGACTACGTGGGTAAGAAAGGGGACACGGAGCTCCAGTCGACTTATGAGTTGGCTGATGGAGTGGTCGGTATCCAAGCCACTTACACTCGTGGAAAAGGCTTGAATTTCGGATACATGAAGTTGAATTGATTACAAGAAGCGAATGCTATTGCGGATTAATCTAAGCGCCTTTTGTATATTACCCATATCAGTTTAGCGCCGCGACTTATCTCCCATAGTTCTTGTTCTTGTTT